AGCTGGTGGTTCAGGCGGAGCACCTGCTGATGCTTTTTGTGGCGCAGCAGGATCTGCTGGCTCATTGGCATGCCGGCTTGGTGCTGGAATGATCTTGGCTGCGTGTATGCGCTGCTGTAAGTGGTTTGTCAGAGAACTTGAAGGTTGCGGTTCCTGTCCACAACTCTGGTGTTGTGGAGATAGTGGTTCACTTGTCTCTGGTTTAAATCGTTTTGTGGTTCGCTGATTGAATATCTGTACGTGTGCAATTGGACAAGTTTTGCTAGTGTCGGGCACGTCTTGGGCGCGCGAACTCTTTAGAGTTCCTTTATGATATATTTAATTATCGTTGTTGGCATGTCCGACGGTTCGTGTCTGCTGCCGGCGCTGGTGCTGGAACTGGCGGTTCCTCTGGCGCTGCCTCGGCTGGATAAGGCTAGCAACGATGGACGCGCAATCTTGCCGTCATCGAATGCCTTAGTCGCCGTTCTGCGGTCGTGTTGTTTGCAAAAGGCTGCTAGATCAAACAGTGCGTGGCCGCTACTGGATACCGGTATGGGTTGTCGCATCATACCGAATGCCTGACGTGTGATCTTGTCACGTTGAGGAATGTGTTCAACCGTCATGTGAACCGTATGTGAAGGTTCCGCATCTGATCAATGCTAAGCAAAGCCGGAACTTGTCCTTGCTCAAGGATATCTATGTAAGTCACCGTGGGTGGTGAGGTATTGAAAAACCGTCAGAGCCCAGTCAACCTTTGAGGTTTGACCATTGGCACAAGTGAGTGTTGTGTTGCACGGGATGCACTAATACATATGGTTCTATTGCCTTCGTGAATCTCGCCACAGCCTAACAACTGCCCATGGACATATGCAACCTTGTCAGGGATGACCTGGGCTGCATTTTGGGCCTGCTTGATGATGGGCGCCATGAGTTTACTGGCCATAGCTTGAGCTTGATTTGGTGTCTTCCACTAGCGTCAACTTTTTCGGTGGATTTGGTAGATAGGCTGTGTAACCAGCGTTCTGGTTTGAGTAATGAGGGTCGCCAGGCACTTTGACCCCAATCCTCTGCCGGGCTGAGTGGCTTCCTGCGCATGGGCTCCATGATCCACGGCGAAGGTTTTGGTTTTTCGTTTACCTTTGGTGTCCTTGTCTGGATCTTTTCCTTTGTTCTTGGATTTGTTGAAGCGTTTCCTTTTCCTTTTTGGAACCAAGGTTGCGCTTGTCTTTCTTCCCCTTTCGGATTGATCGGTGGTGAAATCATCCGCCTGATTGTGACTTCTTGCGGCCTCTTCGGCGCTTGCTCTTGCCTTTGCCTTTTCTTCCTTTCGCCCCTTGCCGGACTTAAGAGTCGACGCTGAAATCAATTGAGAACAAAAGCATCATGGCCTTCCACAACTGCCCAAAAGCTTCTTCATCGTTTAATGGACAAAAGCCTTCTTCACCTTCTTCATCTTCCACCCAGAACCCTGCTTCTCTTCATAGCCTCCTTGTTAAAGGATATAGAAGGTCCTGAATCTTATGTCTGCCAATTGGTTAGATATTTGGACTGTGAAGGGATGTTCTGGTGTGGATGAAAAGGTCGTAGTACTGGGCCTCTATGGTCCCCTAGGTATACTGAGGAAGTTGTCTGCCTCTAAAAATCAATCAAGATACGAATCTTTCTTGTTGGCCTTCTGACAGCTCACTCTGTGTGATGAAAACCAATGCCAAGATGTTGTCTGACAGTGGAGAAGCCTGCGAACGCTCTTGTCTCTTACCTCGGACGAATTGGCCGAAGTTTGCCGGAATGGTCGAGTTTACTCTGGATCGGGCACTGTGGGTGCTGAGGCTCCTTGCGGCAGTCCCTGCTTAATAGTCCCTAATTCTTTGATGTGCGTGCGTCCTTGATGGCTTGAATATACTCTGGTTGATGTTTGAGAATATGCTGGAGCTCTGTCTTCCCAAGATGCTCGCAGTCTTCGCAGGAGAATCTCGAATTTGCTAATGAAAGCCACAAACTCACTGCCCAAGGCTTGTGCATTACTTGTAGCTATCTTAGATAGGAAGCCAAGCGCGCTGTGCTGATTGTGGTACATTGTGCATTGTTTCCATCAGGAAACCAAACACCGCTTTACACCTGGTCTTCGACTCTTCCATGTACATATTTTCGGGACCCCACCTCAGTTGTCGTAGCGGGGCCAGGTTCTCCGAAAGCAGAATGTCGAGTGAAGAGGACTTCTATGGAACAGAACCGCCCGCAGTTCTCGGAAGCCGTCATAACGACGCGAGTTCCCATGAAGAGACCATCAATCTCTTGATGAACGCAGAGTTGCCTCCATCGTATGACGGCCGTGTTAGTTGGCTTCGGCGTGAAGATGTGGGAAGAACCGGCTTGTCGAAGATACCGTGAACTCCTGTAGATCCGGAGAATGGAGTTGAGCATTCTCGGGGTATGGCAGGCGGATTGCACCATGAATGGAAAAGAATACAGCAAAAGGGGGAGGGGGGGGTCCCCGCGAATTTGATAACGTTCCACTAAAAATAGTCTTCGGGGAGGCTGTGGCAAAACAGGGGTCCCAGGCTCGAATCCCCCTGCCGGCTCTTTGCTGGTTCAGGTGTCCGCCTCATTTTGCCGAAACATGGAAAAACTATGTTTTTTGACATCATTTTCGCACAAACGTTGAAATGAAAACTACTGTAGTTCTTTTTCGGAAAAATACCGTATGGAAGGAAAACAAAGGACGAGGAAATCAAAGGACACGAAGGGAGATGTAGGGAAAGACAGGGACCTACATGGAAAATGAAGCGGACATACCGAGAAAATGACAGGGACATGAAGGGGGAATTGAATGGAAAGGAAGGGGACATGACGAGGAAATCCTGGGAAATGACGGGACACAACAAGGACATAATGGGGAAATAAAGGGGAAAAGAGCACGGAAATTGAGGCAACTCAGGGGGACATGACACTGCAATGCAAACAGAGAGAAGAGAGAGAGAGAGAGAGAGAGAGAGATAAAGAGAGAGAGAGAGAGAGGGAGAGAGAGAGAGAGAGAGAGACAGAGAGAGAGAGAGAGAGACAGAGAGAGAGAGAGATGGAGAGAGAGCGAGAGAGAGAGAGAGAAAGAGAGAGAGAGAGAGACAGAGAGAGAGAGAGAAAGAGAGAGAGAGAGACAGAGAGAAGAGAGAGAGAGAGAGAGAGATGGAGAGAGAGCGAGAGAGAGAGAAAGAGAGAGAGAGATAGAGAGAGAGACAGAGAGAGAGAGAGAGAGAGACAGAGAGAGAGAGAGAGAGAGAGAGAGACAGAGAGAGAGAGAGAGACAGAGAGAGAGAGAGAGAGAGGACAGAGAGAGAGAGAGAGAGAGAGAGGATGGGGAGGAGAGAGGGAGAGAGAACGAGGGAATAAAAGGGGGAAGGGAAAGAGAGGGGAAGGAGAAAAGGGAGAGGCCAATGTTGGCGGAGTGAGCCGGAGGCTCTACACTATATGGTCACCGCCCCCCTCTTCCAGGGCCTACCTTTCCTCTCTTCTAGTTGAAGGTGCCAACTCTACTGTGCGTGCCTCGTTCTTGCAGATGCCTGAAAACGCTGTAATATACAGTTTGTTTGTTGGTTGACCTTCCATAGAACAGCAAACATTTCTTGTTTTAAAGCTTGGAAGGCAACAAAGCGAACACGGATTCCGTTTTCAGATTCGAGAAAACACTGGTTTTTACAGTGGGTGTTTGAGTACACCAGGCAACAAACATTGAACAAACGATGTGTTTGCAGCTTTGAGCTCTGAAATTTGCACATACCCAAAAGCACGAAATCTCCTGAAAATGAAAGTCCGATACCTGCACATGCCAAAAATAATAATCTCCAGACCAATTTTGGGAGTCTGGGGATATTTGCCAATTTTCTGTTTGGCCGCATCTGACCTAAATCATATTTGGGAATGAGGTACTTTTAAAATTTGTTTGCAAAGGCCAGTTGAATTCTTGCCGGATTAAGCTCTATTCAAATTTAAGTCATATTTGGTAAGGGGTTCTTAATTTATTTTATGTTCAAAAGACAATTGAATTCTGTCCGTACTCTGGTGAAGCATGAACTGTGGTAAACTATGTTCTTACTAAATTCTATTCATGCCAATTCAATTCGGAGTAAAATCCGAATGAAAGGAAAGGAAACTATAGTTGGACATGGATTCCAGGCTCCAAAGGTTATGGGGCTTGGAGAATCCATTAGACACTTCGAGGATTATCTCCGGATTCTAGGTTTCAGGTGTTCCAAAATGGAAATTTCAAGGGATTACAGGTGCAACAAAATGCTGCAAAACGCAATGTCTTGCAGAATTTGCTAACATGCTTCCCCCAAACAACAGCATCCATTTGCAACGCAATAAGCCTACATAAGGCTTATAAACTTTCAGGAAAGTATATAAGCCTTCTTGCGCGTTTGGCGGTTTCCCACAACAAGGCAACGCCCCTGTCTTCATGGTCACGGTATCGTTGAAGGTGTGGGAGGGGGGGAGTGGTTGGAAGCCTAAGCAGTGCGACCACCCCCGCGCCCACCCCTTCCCGTGTTGCAGGAAGCCGTCAAACGCTTGACATAGTTTATAAACTGTCATGAAAGCTTGTGAACTCTTTGCCGTTGTTACTCAACATGACTTGTCACCCACACAAAATATGCAACAACATCACACTTGTTGCGCAAATATGCTCACACCCCGTCTTTAAAATAAGAGGATTTTGTACATTTTGAAGTCGAAAGGTAGGCCACCAAACCTGGGTTGAGGGGGGGGAGGTTCCATATATATATATATATGTATATATATATGCTATATATATATATATATTCATCAAATGAGCCCTCATTCTCGATCTGCTTCGGGGCATTGCAGGAATCTCCGTGGGATGGACATTGATTAGCTGCCGAAGCATCAATTCACAACTTTCACCGCCCACCATTCCACCAGTCGGGCCTTGGTGCCCTTTCAACAGGGCAAATCCAACAGATTTCTGGGGTCTCTCCTCCCTGAAATGTCTTCGCAATTTGATTGGAAACTGGGAGAGGCCACGCAGGCCGTGTAGATCATCTCACACCACTGAAGCTCGTGATCAACTGATCTGAGCCATTCCGCTTTGCCATACAAAATTTCAACGATCTCGAAAGGCTTGCGACCTGGCTTCCCCCACCCTCAACTGGACTCTGTGCGATCAGGGGACCGGCCTGAAAAACGGCGCGGAACGCAAGCCCTAGGACTCCAAATCCAAAGGAGGCCGAACTGGCTGGTGCTTTTTGGCGAGGTGCCCGGATATACCTTGGTGCCGGGTGACCCGTTCACAAAAGATACGTTCGGGAACCACGTCTTGGCAACCTCTGGTTATTGGCTCAATTCCTAATTGTGGAAAACCGGCCACTTTGGGTGCCAACATGGCACGAGTTCATACATGAACTGACACGTTGACAGCAAGAACTGACGGCCCTTATTCTAACAACACATTCCAACCCAACAGCGCAAGTATCGAAGCAAATACTCAGAAATAATCGAAATCATGCCTGATTCCCCTCCTCTCAGGTGCCAGTCTATGTAACCTGTGTGTTTGTCACTTTAGGGCGGCACCGCCACGACTCTCTCACTCACTCACTCACTCTCTCTCGCTCTCTCTCTGCTGCAGGATACAAGCAACAAAATGGCTTGATGCGGCTGCCTCCCTTCCTGCTTGGGAGCGCAACCAAATGAAAGTGAATCATAGGCTATCGTCGGTTTCACAAATTGTGAATCCCCGTTTGGAGGCTTGCAACAAAGGAATCAACATGCAGCCGATATCCCCACCTCTGGGAAAACATGGGGGCTACCCGTCGACGAATAGTTTCATTTGTACCCACAGGCGAAATGTGTTGGGAAGGATCCCTTTCTTGTGAGTACGACCCTTGCACATTTTACTTCGAGGGTGGGGATAGATCGACGATTTGGGAGAGCTACTCGCAACACAAACCCAAATCCGTCTACCCAGCCGCCCGCAACCTTTGCAAACCGAATCTGCCAGTTCTCGTCTGCAAATCTGATTGCCCTGGCCCCAATAGCAATGCCCCCTGTGCATGTCTAAAGCTACGGCTTCAACCACGTGCCATCAAAATCTGTAGGCTGTTGTTCCCGCACAAGATATCTTTGAGCTGGGCAGTTCAAAAACATAACCAACCAAACGACTTGGGTGGCCCGACTGATAAATGTATTGCGGGCTGTTTTGGTGGGATCCTCTTTGTGGATGGTGCGAATGGAAACCAATGGGCAACCCATTTTGGGTCTCATCCCATTTGAAGGCAAACCCATATGGACAAAAGATGCCCTTTTAGGACCACTCCCCGCGCGCGGCCAATGCGAGGAAGCGACTTCTGGATAAAAAGAAGCCATGTCTGGGGGTAAGAAGCCATGGCAAGTCGTGGATTATTGGAACTTACTATGCAAAGGGATTCGAAGCATATTTCCTTTGTGGCAACATGGGATGGAGGCCATGAAACATCCACATATCTTTGATGCACCGATCATGGCTAATCTTGGGCAATCTTATTGTTGAGATGCAAAACATAATCACTCGACAGCCGTATGTGTTGAGCACAAGCACCAGGGCTTCCAGGTTGCAGCACATTTCTGCCTGCAAACGATTTCAAACACGTACAACGGTACAAGGCTGTATGTGTGCGCGATTGCCAATAGGAACCCCACTGTACCCAACGCTATGGAAAAACACTGTGGCTGAAGGGAATGAGATATTCCACCGGCAACGCCTGTTCCATCCGCCCAAGAGAACTCAGGTTCATGCTGATGGACTATACAGCGCGGGGCCAACATATCTCAGGCTGGTTAACTACTCAGATCAGTCAACTGTGGTTGCAATGTCTGTTTCCAGCATGTTGACACGCGATCATGCCTGCCAACACAGCAATTCCAAGTGTTCAGAGTTTGCAAAGCCCAGCATTGATTGAATCAACATCAGCTCTGACACCGTGAGCGGTTGAAAATGCTGATTTGCTATATCTTGAGGTTGCACCAGAACATATATGCAGTGAACTCCGCAAATGATAATTCTCAACCACAAGTTGCCAAGAGATCGAGATACTGATCGAAATGTGAAGTTCAACAACAGGGAAGCAGATCAAACATCTACAAAACCAGGCCAATTCATCGCAGACCACCAGACACAACACCACTGGCCACATCGGCAACCACAAATCAGCTGGCCAAGTAGCTAGAACTTGGCCGAGATCAATACGTCATTTGACGCCTCATGGTAAGGTCCTGCGTTGTGACATTCCCGCAAGCCAAACACCCGTCATGGTCCGAATGCCAACCACCCAGAGATGCTGTGGCTCCGTTTGGTTTCCAGCCGTTGTCCAGCGGGAAAGGCAAAGAGATGGTTCCAGAAACCCAAGATGAGCCAAGGTCAATGGGGTCCCAACATGCCCAACATTGGTGACGAGACTCTGACTGAGAAACCCTTTTCTGATGCCAGTTTAGTTTGGTGACGCCCCACGCCAATTTCCATGGTGGGGCATATTGGTTGCCCATGTGCTGGAAAACTGCATCAATGTTGAGTGCACTGCACCCTAGGGACCGTTTCCCCCATCTCATGCTCACAGGCATGGTTTGGAATGCAGAGAGGAAGGGTTTCTTGCTACTTTTGCTTACCAAATTACGCGATACATAGCAAGGCTGGGGGACTGCATGCACTCGACCTGACTTTTCAAGACCGCCATTGGGCTGGGGCAATTTGCTTCCTCCAGCCTGGGGACACGTGACACTTCCAAGACCACCTGGGTGGCTATCACAAAACACCCGATAGTAGGATGTTTCCTGACATACATGATCCAAAACCTGAATCCACACTCTGGACCGTTTGCACTGCTTGCCGCCAAAGGCGGCATGATCCGATCAATGAATAGCCCGAGCAGTGCCTTGGCCAGAATAGAGCAACAACTTTCGGAAGATGCTGTTCGGGAATTGGATCTGAAGTTACTTCCTCTTGATTTAACCCCCCTCCTCAACTTGATCTCTAAGTGGGCTCCTTCAAAGTTCAAAACAAATGCATACCCGTATCAAATATGCTCTCTCCCTCTCTCTCCCTCGCTTTATCCCTCTGCCTCCCTGCCCTTTGCCCATCTTTCTCCGGTCCTCGCAAAAAAGCGACTCGCACTCGTCATCAGTATTGTACCCACCAAACCTTGGCGGAAAGTCGAGCTTGCACTCCCACTTTGAAAGGCCGATGCATGTGCTATGGCTGTGAAAACCTGAAGGACATCGGGCCAGTGCTCGGTTTATCAATGAATCATGACTTGCCTCTTGCATGTAGGCTTGCCTCAATAAAGTGAAAATGCGGTGATTTCTCCTTTGGCTTCCCGTTGCTATGCTCAAAATCACACCCACGTTGGATAGTATGTTTGTCATAGCCTTGCAGGCAAACCTGGTCAATTAAATCTGAAACCCCCTGAGAAACTTGAGAGGCGACAGGAGCTTTCAACCGTACTGTTTCCCTGGAATGGTCTTCCAAAAGTCTCCCCAAAGTTGACTCGGGAGAGATAATAATTCACCAACCCCAAATATGGGCGCACTTTCTGTTCATCCTGCATTAGTGAACCCCGATTGGTTGAATCAACAACGAAGAAAACCGAGGCCTAACACGTCCACTTTTCCACTCACCCTCTCAGCTTGGGGAATCGAAGCCTTCAGCTGAGCTCCAAGGATCAAGGCTTTTAGTCCTTTTGAGGCGTCTTTGGGGACGCAACACCCCAGCCTCTGTCAAACCACGTGTTGCCACGTCTTACAATACCATTTCTGTCAATTGCTTCCGCTTCTGACTCCTTGCTCCCCGAGACGCATGATAACTTTAGCTGCTGCCGACCCGCGGTCAATGCCAAGTGACTCTTTGGCCTCGTCCTGGCAAGGCACAGCGAAACCCACACAGGTTCCGAATCCAAGGACGTAAGCCTCGGAATCCATTGAACCTACATTTCTAGAGGGTCAGCCCATGTTTTGAGATACTTTGTTGCGTGCTAGAAAATTCCAACCACGTCGGCGCCACTGAAGGGGGGAAGGCGCCCAAAGGGTGGCGCGGATGCTGTCCAACTATGCGGGCCCGAACGCATCCCAGCTGGCGAGACTGGTTGACAGCAGAGGGCAGGGTGGTCATGGGTTGTGCTCTCAACACCCTGGCCACAGGGAGTCGCATCAGCTTGCGACAAGGTCATGCCTCATGGCGGTCAGCCTGTTGATTGTTCAGCTTGAGCAGGACACCCTTGTGGCCATCTACGATGCCAAGATCTTGCACGTTCGTTTTGCGCACCCTTTGCTGGAGGCGCGGTGCCTTGTCCTTCGCCAAACCGCTCCACGTTTCCTGTGCTTCGAGGAAGTTTGTGCAGGGGCTGGAGGAGTTTCACTCGGAACATAGCAGGTTGGCCTTCACTCTCTTGGGCACCTTGATCACTCACAGCTTGCAGTGGACAGGCCATAGCAACGTGATCCTCGGTGCATCACAGTGGTCCACATGATGCGCCGTAATCTTAGATATCTTTCATTATTTCCTTTCTTTTCTTGTCTTTTCTTCTCCCCTCTTCTATTTTATTCCCCTCTGTCCTTTCCTTTCCTGGCTCTTTTCCTGTCTTCTCTTCCCTTCCCTTCCCTCCCTTCCTCTTGTCTTCTCTTCTCATCTCTTTCTTTCCTTCCTGCTCTTCCTTTTTCTTTCCTTTTGTTTCTTCTGTCTTTCCTTTTTTTCCCTTCTCTTCTTTATTTTCCTTTCCTGGGCTTTGTTGTTTGCTTTTCTTCTGTTCTCTTTTCTTTCCATTCCTGCGCTTTCCTTTCCTGGCTTTTCTCTTCTCTTCGCTTCTTTCTCGTCCTCCTTTCTTTTCTTTTCTTGTCTTTCTTTTCTTCTTTCGATTTTATTCCCGATCCTTTCGTTCGCTGGCTTGGTGCGTTTCTTCCCTTCCCTTCCCCTCCCTTCTCGTCTTCTCTTCTCTTCTCTTCTCTTCTCTTCTCCTCTTTTCTTCTCTTCTCTTGCTCGCTTGCTTTCTTCTCTCTCTTTCTCTCCAGGCGTGCGCAGCCTACTGAGCATCGCCAGCATCGCCATGAGGCACAACCGGGGGCAGGTTGTGCATCTCTAGGCATGAAACCATGTCCATGTCGTTTGGAGCGTTCTTCTCTTGGGGATGTTCTTGGGGCCCATGTCCTCGTGCAAAACATGAAGCGTGCCATCTGCTGATGCTCTGTGCAACACGCAAGGCCGCAATCAAGACATCGTAATGCAAATGTCTTCCGCGCAAGACGCAAGACTGACTGCCTGAACACTGAGGCTGCTTCCTTGCAGGAAGATTCCAAGAAAAGGGCCATGGAAACAAGAAACATGTTTCGGCCCTTGGTCACATGAGCACAAAAACAAACACAAGTATCACCAGAAGACAGACGGCGCAACAGAGGATTGACTCCTTGAACCCTGGGTTGGGTACAACTGGCGCACGTTTTGCTTGTAGGTTTTCAGGCCGTGTTGAGCAGCGTGTGAGGTGTTGCGGCGGCATAATGCTGCGGAATCGGGGCCCCGAGAAACCTGGAAGATGGTCTCGCGCTGCGCTGGATCAATCTGGAGACTTGGGCTCCGCAGAAAAAGAACAATGTATGGTGTCTGGGAATGCAATGACAAAGGAGCGGCTGCGTGTTGAAAGGTTTGGGCCACACAGTTGCAAAGTCGTGTGTGGGCGGATCACTGTGAAGCAGCAGCAAGAAAAAAAACACCCAACCAACCCAGGCACGCAGCATACCCAGCATTTCATGCATCACCTGCATCCCAAGCGCCTGGCAGCGCAACTTGACAGTTTGCATCCCAGCATTCCCTGCACCACCACAAACCTGCATCATCCCCAACTTGCCCCGAACTTGTTATCTGAGCGATTCCCGCATCAGCAGTGCCATCCGCCCAGCCTGCAAACCAAACCACAAGCGGCGATGCAACGAAACCACGCATGTACCGTCAAAAGACCCCTGAGTGCACATGCATTCATCAGGCTCAGTGGATTCCCTAAACGCACGCATGCCCATCCAAGCATTTGCGTATGGCTTTCCCATTCTCCATCATCCCCAAAGCGGTTTTGGTTTTTGATGTGTGCAGCTATCTGTGCTATCTGTCCCGTTTGGCCCGATCACAGGATCTGACCCTCCCAAGGAACAAAAGCTCAAACTCTGCGCTGTGTGTCGAGATCGAGTGAGGGTGACCGCAGATGTGTTCTGCACCAGAAGCTCCTCCTCAGCATGCATCACCCGGACGCCAACATCCTAAACATCCGCGCCAACTTCACACCAGCATCCCCAGCATTCCTGCATCACCAGCATCCGGGCTTTCCTGAGTTTGAAGGTGGGCGGACACGGCGGGCATGTTTGCGATCAAGTGAGCGTGGTTTCTGCAAAAGCGGGGCCGGCACGCGGCACTATGCGGAAAACATCGCAAATAGCGTGGTTTTGGTCTTGTTTCCTAGGTTTTTGTGGGGCTGAGAGGGGATGCCGGGATGCAGTCTTCGTCTGATTGACTTTGGGAGCAGGTACCAACTCACCCCTAGCCGCTCCAAGACCACAGGGTCCGTAGGGTCCGTAGGGTCCGGGTCTGAAGGTTCGGGCATCGGCTCAGCCCACCTCGGAGTCCAAGCCCGACCCCGGCGCTCCCCAATTCTCACGTTGGTGCTGAGATGCTAGATATCGACATGTGTCTTTGAGAGCCTTCACATTGGCACACATGCTTTTGGGAGCCGCACAAATTACAAAAAAGTCAATTCTTTGGAGACATGCCCGAAAGCCGACACTACAAACCATGTTCGTTCAGGAACGCGACAATGGTGTTGAAGTCATGGTACTGTTGTGTAGGCAGTAAGCCAAGGCAAAGATCACAGAAGCCCCCACACGCCCCCGATTGGAAAGCTCATGCACATGCAAAGCGCTTGAAGCTTTTGCTTGTACTGCATCTACTTCAGCCCAGGATTTTGTGAAGTTCCCATGAAAAGCCCAAAACGCAAATGCCTACTTCTCTTATTCTCTTGGAAGACCTGAGTGAAACAAAGAACCAAAGGATGGTGTCTCTTGAGCGTGGCTTATTTCAACCCAGCAAGGCTTTCTTGTGGAGGGTTGCATATCGGCCCCAGCTTTCTACTGGCGCGAATGACTGGCAACATCCCCAGATTTCGGCAGGAGAGGGAGTTTGACAAGCCCTCGCTTGCTATCAACACTCAATGCCACTTCAGCATGAGGAAAATAAATAGACCACAAATTCAGTCTACGTGCTTGTTGAGTTTGTTTGAAAGGCGGTACTCAAAAAGTCTGCCTGCCCCAAACTATGTGGAGAACCAAAAGGGTGACCAGGAGTCCTCACTCTCAGATTGCTTGTGGTAACTCAAGGTCTGAGAGTCTGGAGACCTGAGGCCCAAGCTCTGGGCTTAGGGGCATTGTCACCAGCTGAACACCTGGCCAATCGGTATATAATATCTCCAAAGACCGACAGGGGCTGGGGATTTGCGTCTGCCTTCATATCAGAAATAAGCTCTGTTCCATCTCCATACGGAAGCTTCAAAATAATTGAGCGGACCATTTCACATAGCCCTTGGTGTCTTTTGGCCCATCCAAACAATCAAAACGCCCCCGCCAAACAACGCCCATACGCGCCCTCAGACATCACCCCACATGGTGATGATTGAAACCAACGGAAATGGTGATGATTGAAACCAACGGAAGGGGGGCTGTAGGGAGGGACCCCTGTGACAACACAAGTGCCTGCAGCTGCAAATCATGATGCACGGGTTGCCCTCCAAGACGTTAACTCCAGCTTATCATACAACATGCATTGAGCGCCTTTGTTTAAGCCGGGTACCGCCCGCAAAGTGCAACTACCGGAAGTCCACCAACCCCTTGCCAAAGAGGGGAGGCACGCGGGGAAGGTTGGCTGGCACATGGGCATAAACGAAGAAGCTGCATCATCATCAGCATCATCAGCATCATCATCATCATCATCATCATCATCATCACGCTCATCACCCCCTCGTGATCAGCATCATGGTGATCATCAAACGAGATTGGTCCTGCCAGTTCTTCTTGACACACGTCGTGGTGACGCTGCGTAGATTTTAGATCTCGTGGTAGGCACCGTCAGCCCCGCCAGTATCCTTATCATCGTCCTCATCGTCATGCTAATCAACATCCTCATCACCATCATGGTTGTCATCCTCGTGGTCATCATCGTCCTGATTATCATCATGCCTGCTGGTGATGCTGGGGATGCATAGTGATGATTTGCATCATGTCTGTCGTCGTCGTCATCATCATCATCATCATCATCATCATCATCACTGATATTGGCCATGGAGAACTTTGTTCTGTCCATCATCCACATCATCCTCCTCCTCATCCTCGTTCTCATCCATCCTCATCATCATCCCTCATGAGCATCCTCTATCCTTATCTTCATCTTCACCATCATTCATCCAGCATCATCTGCGCCGGGTCCTGCTTGGGCAATTTTGCCCACGCAGGATCCTTCATGAACGACAATTGTGTCTATGCAGGGTTTTGTCCATCACTCAGTTGCAAAAAGGAAAAGGCTAACCTTTTTTGGGCCTTGACTAATCCATCCATCCATCCATCCATCCATCCATCCATCCATCCATCCATCCATCAAGGAATCTTTTGCAGATTGATGTGGGAGAATGACAGCGAAGTATCTGGAAGGATAGGGACCCAACATGGTCAATGGATCGAGTGCGCTGTCTTGGATGTCTGAGACTTTGAGGAGTGGGCCGCCCTTTTTCGGGAACTGGGACCACTCACTGTCTATCATGAGAACATGTGTGGTGTGTGCCTTTTCCAAGTGTATCCTTTTTCGGTTTGTTGGGACATCAAAAGCAAGCCCACCTACTTCGGGGGTCCAAGGCCTCTTTTGAGATAAACTTATTTTAGGTCCCTGGCTATCATCTAGAATGGGGTCGCAAGAAGAGGGATAAAACCAGGCACAGCGGTTCACTGTGATAAGGACACAGTGCAAAACCTTTCCGTGTGGAGCCGTTTCTTGCCAAGGAAAACAGAATGCCGAAACGCGGCATGACCCAGCACGAGATCGGCCAGAGAGATCGGGCAGGTTGAAGGACCTGGCGAGTACGGAGGACACTGCGGCAGCGGGAGAAGGAGAAGGCCTTGAAGCCGGAGATGCAAAGACATAAACGGGGATGCAATGAGGACATCCGCGACCTAAGGAAGACCAAATGATGGCGGTGACGGCCTGAAAATGATGAAGGTGCACCACCTGCAGCATACAGGTGTCACAAAAGGCCGGGCATGCGAATGGCAGCATACACGTGAGACTGCGAGGAGGGGCCGCTGCTGTTGAGCGGTGCACATAAGGAAGCACTGCCGCGAAGCAGAAGCCCAGAAGCTGCCGCAGAGAAGCCTGCTGCTCGGGTCGAGGGCAACGGTGCGACGGCGAGGGGGGCATCAACGCGGCTGCTGGAGAAGCTGAGATGGACATTGTGGCGACGAGTGGATGTGAGGCCAGTGAGGTCAAGCTGAAGGTTCTGAACATGGAGATGAAGGAGATGAAGGAGATGAAGGAGATGGTGAAGGTGGAACGCACTTGCCGGACCGGAGGTTCGGAAGCTGCGCGAGAACTTGAGGGCTCGGCCGCGGAGTGGGCGGTTGCTGGCGGAGGAATTGGGCGCGTCATGGAGGTCGACTCGGCGCGCGGCGCAGCCCGGAGCATGTCGGACGAGCTGTGCGCGGGACGCGGTGCTTGGACTTCACTGCGCTGTGCTGAGGCATCCTCTTCCTGGCGGAGGTCCGCGGTGGTCTGTGAGAGAGCCTTTTGGCACTTCGAGCTGGAGGTGGGAGGGCAAGAGGAAGGGCGAGGTTGGAGAAGGCGATCTGGATGAAGAGAAGCAGAGAGAAGAGCCGTTGGAGGAAGATCATTGGCCACTGGCTCGAAAGGGGCAGAATCGCGGAGGGTGCTCTTTGCAGCTGGGATGGCATCTGGTGGCCAACGGCTCGCTATGAGGAGACAGTGAGGGAGAAAAGGGTGGAGACCTTGGGTGGAGAGGTGGAGAGAGGAGAATCCGGAGAGGGGCTCCAGGCCAAAGAAGAATCCCAAGATTCCCAAAAAGTTCAAGAAGTTCAAGACTCCGAAGCTGGCCCTTTACGCCGGTTTGTCGCCTGGCATCTGCCCAAGCATTGGCATTGCCATGGGCAGCTGCTCTGGTGGCATCTGCTCCTCGCGGGTTGCAATCAAATGTGTCAAGGACGGGTCCCAATTTGGGCCGGTGCCCTCATTCACAAGTGCCTCCAGGTGTCCTTCGGTTGAAACTAGATGGCACATGTTAGAACCAAATTGAATTACCAATGCAATACACTTCATATGCGTCTAGATAGTGTATATGTTCATGAATGCTCAAACACACGCACAGAGACACACACACACACAACACACACACACACACACACCACACACGCACGCACGCACCACACACACAACACACACACACAGCACACACACACCACACACGCACGCACGCACCACACACACACAACACACACACACAACACACACACACAACACACAACACACACACACACCACACACGCACGCACACACCACACACACACAACACACACACACAACACACACACACACACCACACACGCACGCACACACCACACACACAACACACACACACACAACACACACACACACCACACACGCACGCACGCACCACACACCCACACAACACACACACACACACACACACACAACACACACCACACACGCACGCACACACCACACACACACAACACACACACAACACACACACACACCACACACGCACGCACACACACACACACACACACACACACACACGCACCACACACACACAACACACACACAGCACACACACACACACACACACGCACGCACGCACCACACACACACAACACACACACACACACACACACACCACACACGCACGCACGCACCACACACACACACACAACACACACACACACAACACACACACACCACACACGCACACACACACCACACACACACACACACACACACAGCACACACCACACACACACACACACACACACACACCACACACACCACACACACACACACGCACACACACACAGCACACACACGCGCACCACACACACACACAACACACACACACACACACACACCACACACGCACGCACTACACACACACAACACACACATTACAACACACACACCACACACACACATTTTCCACACACACACACACAACACAACAACACACACAACACACACACACTACACGCACTAGCACGCACACTACATAATACATAAACACACACAGCACACACACACACACCCACACACCCACGCATGCACACACACATAAATAATACACACACACACTCACACACGCACGCATGCACACACACACACACACAACACACACACATAACACACACACACCACACACGCACGCACGCATCACATAATATTAACACACAATACACACACACACACACCACACACGCACGTACGCACACATACATTATTTAAATACTAACACATTACAATATTATAATTAATATTAATAATATATTTAATTAATACACATTATATAAATAATATTATTAACACATAATAATATTAATACCTCACACACGCACATACACCACACATATGCCCACACACACACAGCATACACACATAACTAATAATACGCACGCACGCACACACAATAATAACACACACATTACAACAATAAAATATTACACCACACGCACGTACGCACTACACACAACAATAATAATAAAGGTTTCACACACACACCACACACGCACGCACGCACCACACACACACAAACACACACACACACATTAACACACACACACCACATACGTGACATGTACCACATTGATTGATAACACATTACACATTAACATTAATACACAATACCACACAAATTCATCAAAAACACACAATAAATAAATACAAACACACACACAGCAATAACACACACACACCACACACGCACGCACGCACCACACACACACACAACACACACACACAACACACACACACACTGACACACACGCACTAAGCACACACACACACACACAACACACACACACAACACACACACCACACACGCACTTATCGCAATCTCACACACACACAACACACACAACACACACCACACGCATCTACACAACAGACACACAAACAATAACACAAATAACACCAATAACACATACATTATACTACTATTTATTTAATAATCAATAATAAAACACACACACACACAACACACACATACACGTACGCACTCACACACACATATAACACACACACACATACATAACACACACAGCCACACACGTACGTACGTACTCACACATTAACACACACACACAAACAATACAACACACACACACGCACGCACATGCACGCACACACACAACACAATACCACAACACACACACACACACACACGCACGCACGCACCACACACACAACACACACACACAACACACACACACACCACACACGCACGCACGTATACCACACACACATACACACACACAACACACGCACACTACACACGCATGCATGCACACATATAATAACACACATATCACAATAATACTACACACGCAATGTTTACGTACACACACACATTAACAATAATAACACACATTTTCTTCAAACACACACACACACCACACACGCACGCACGCACCGCACACACACAACAATAACAATACGACACATTAACACAATAACACACACACCACACACGCACGCACGCACCCACACACATACAACACATGACAACACACACACTATCAATACCTACACACGCACGCCTATCACATTTTCACACACACACACACAACACACACACACACAATTCACACAACACACACACACACCACACACGCACGCACGCACCACACACACACAACACACACACACAACACACACACACACACAACACACACACACACACACCACACACGCACGCACGCACCACACACACACAACACACACAACACACACACACACACCACACACGCACGCACGCACCACACACACAACACACACACAACACACACACAACACACACACACACCACACACGCACGCACGCACCAAACACACACACAACACACACACACACAACACACACACACAACACACACACACACGCACGCACGCACGCACGCACGCACACAACACACACACACACCACACACGCACGCACGCACGCACGCACGCACGCACACACACACACACCACACACACACACACACACACGCATCAACTACATTTTGGGACCATTAAGGACCACTGAGGGCCGCAACCTGTTTCCCTTGCTATGGCTCTGAATCAATACTGGAAGCAGTATGCGTGCTAGTATACATAATAGTTGTGTCTAGCAAATATCGAAATACACCCAGCACAAGTCCTAGAATGTATACAACATAGTTCCACTATATCAATCTAATATGCCAACACGCCTAGCACATTGCCAGTACGTTTCGCAAATGTCCAGCTGATTCCTCATATGCCCATCTTTCACCAAAGTATGCACATGCTACACACATACTAGTTTCATATTCAAGATAGCCACAGTATGGCAGCAGTGCACCGGAACAATTGGCATTCACAGGAAAACTGGAGGAAAACCAACCAACAAAAATTGGGAAAACCAGACACAAACAGAAAGCCTAAATATGAGAGCAATCTTTGGATCGATGTGTTTTTGTGTTTGGGTTTTTGCCGGAGTGGTTTTGTTTGTTGCTGGTGTTCAGATGAAAAAGAAAACATATTAACTGTTTGTTGGCTTTATGATGGATATACTAAGGAACAAACACAAACACAACCACTTGAGTTTGTGTTGTGGGAAAGAAAACCAGCTGACAACCACGCACAAGCAAAATAACTTGAGGAGAACCAACACACAACAAAACAACACCGGGGACAAATCAAACCAACGATTGCCCTCAGAGTGTCTGTTTGTTGTTGTTTTTTTCCGGTTTCCAGAGCTTGTGTGTGTGTGTGGGTCGGTTTGCTCTTTGATTTTCGGACCAAAAAGACTGATCAGCTAGAAAAAACAGCAAAAAAACAAATTCAACACGGGAAAACAAATCAGAACTTGTCTGCCAAACCAAACCTTCTCCTAGAATCCGTGTTTTCTCGGTTTCCAGTGATTAGCCTTTGGAAGGCGAAGACTTTGCAAGTGAAACAATTGCCTTCAAAACGTTATATGTCAAGTTTATTCATATACAATGAATCATGTGTAAACGACAACTCCTGGTTGCTCGTGGTTGTGCCTCACGAAACACAGGTAAAACGCAGCTGCTTGATGGAGTAATCATGCGATGTTACACAAGTTGCAAGAACGGATTTCTGTTTGAATTTCATGCTGCTGAACTTTTAATTGGCAACATACTGCACAAGACAGAGCATTCCAGTGTCTCAGTGCAAGACTGACAGCAAAATAGTTTTATGAGGGGGGGTGACCATATTTATAATATATATATATAGATAGACCATAGACTCTACTTAACCTGCAAGGAACATGTTAGAGTTGTTCTTTGAACCTATATTCTTTCGCTGACTCTGCTGGTGCCCCCCGGGGAGCCTGACCCGAATACGTGGAAAAACACAAGGGTACCATAGACTCTGAAACAAACGAAAAGGGCAAAAGTACCTTCATGTTTCGCTCGCTTTTGATGAGGGGCGCATTTCGCTCGGTACATATAATGCCCCCTCGGTGAGCCCGCGCAGTTTGACCCTGGACCCTGCGTAGCAACGTAGCAACTGCGTAGCAACTGCGTAGGGATTCAAAATTGCCCGGCAACTCGAGGCGCACTCTGAAGATTCTCGAGTGTCATGCGAGGTTGGCATGAAGTCAACTGCTCGCATGGTGAGAACCGGGTGCAGTCGCCGTGAGTGTGCAGTGGACACCCACTGCATCCGAGTCGATGCCCGACCAGAAAGCTGACCTCTTGGGAAATTCGGGAAAGCCGAAAGCTATCCGCTGCATACAATGCTGGTGTAGGCTGCGCGCATTCGGCATAGTTTGACCCAAGCTGTTTGCTATGTATTGTTTTCTGCTTGAGGCACGCCCATCAAACGCAAGCACATTCCCCATGCTTGTCCATGAGCGGTCCTCAAAAATCATCTGGGGCATCTGTGCGAGCTGCATTGGGACCATAAGAATCTGACAGCCAGGCCTCGGTACTGCATGGCGCGTCGTCTCTCGCCCGCTCTCCCGCTCTCCCTCTCTCCCTCTCTCCCTCTCTCCCTCTCGGCCTCTCTGCCTCTCTGCCTCTCTGCCTCTCTGCCTCTCTCCCTCTCTCCCTCTCTCCCTCTCTCCCTCTCTCCCTCTCTCCCTCTCTCCCTCTCTCCCTCTCTCCCTCTCGGCCTCTCTGCCTCTCTGCCTCTCTCCCTCTCTCCCTCTCTCCCTCTCTCCGGCTCTCCCTCTCTCCCTCTCTCCCTCTCTCCCTCTCTCCCTCTCTCCCTCTCTCCCTCTCGGCCTCTCTGCCTCTCTGCCTCTCTGCCTCTCTGCCTCTCTCCCTCTCTCCCTCTCTCCCTCTCTCCCTCTCTCCCTCTCTCCCTCTCTCCCTCTCTCCCTCTCTCCCTCTCGGCCTCTCTGCCTCTCTGCCTCTCTGCCCGTTCGCCCTTTCTGTGATGCATCGCTGCATCACGAATACAGCCGACACTTGGCTGTCAGCGTGGCTTGTCAAAAAGGCCCCCATCATTCCTACACTGTCCAATCTCATAGAATTCAGAAGGCATGTTCAATTCATGGGACACATCCACCCGAAAAAATGCACCATCCAAAGTCAGGTATACATGTACGAGCAGGTCACAAAACCCGTCACTCATGACGATGCGAAAAGTCCTTGCAACCATAAAACACATGACAAGGCGCGTTGCCAGATATGGTTTCATGCAATTGCAATGAACCTGGATGGCGTTTTTGCACATGACCCGGCAGTGGGATGTGACCTCTGCAGTATCGCCAGTGGCACTCCCAATAAGCGCTTTTTGGAGTAATTCCGCGCAATCACCAAAGACATGTCAAATAATATGTTTCGCTTCCCTAATTCTGAAAAAAAAACTGCAAAGGTGTGATATGGCTGCTCCTGGTGGAAGCATACCGAGTCAAGCAGAGCCCGCAATCAACTCGTGCAAATCATGTGCACAAGCTCCAGGCAAAAGCATCCACACACGCTGTCTCAGTCTCTTTTGGACGTGCACTTTGCGAAGGGATGCTTTTACCCTTGAACGACCGCACGTATATCATCATATCTCCTGAAAAGCAAGATGAACCCAAAAAAAACAGTGGGCCTCTGAAATGCCTGGCAGGTCGAAACCAATTTTGTACTATGTTGAGAGGGGTTCGATTGGGATGGGGTGCTGGAAGGGTGAACTCGTGACATCCCCAAGCATGCTCCCCAAAAGCTGGTTCCTCAGTTGCCTAAGGTCTTGGGGGATCATTATTGGTGCAATGCATCGAGGTTGTCGTCCTATCTCGGCAGATTACACTCACCGACCGAAGCAAAAACGATTGGAGTGTGTGTGTGTGTGTGGTGTTCTCTGTTTACGGTTCAATGTGCACGATCAACACTCGGCAAGTGGGTCATGGGCGTAGCTCCTGAAATAGAACAACGTATCACGGTTGTCTAAATCGCCTGAGGGTTCCATGACCAGCCCTACCAAACTGAAGTGAAAGGGTGTTTGTCCATGGCACATATTATGTTTCAATATGCCTTCACCCTAGCTCAGAACTCCAACCCAGTATCAGGACGAGCAGCGGCAGGTCACCAGGCAGCATGACGTTTGCCACCATAGATTGGCCAACCTGTGCGCCAACACCTGAACCTCGATTGGTGGTTTGGGGATTGGCGGTTGGGGACTTAGGCTGGTTGAAGGGGTCTCCCATTTGGCAAATGAGAACTGGGGTTAAGGCCAAATCCAAGACTGGGAGACGGTGATGGCCAATTCCCTCAGAGACCTTGGAAAAGGAAGCCCTATTTTGAGTGGACCAAGTTAGACACCGCACAGAAAGGGGAAGACATGACAAATGGAAGCAACCCTTGTTCAAAGCGTCAAGGAAAATGAACGAACCTTTATGATGGGAGTCTGGTCGGAACTCCTGCAGCAATCAAAGTGTTTGAGGTTTGCGGGTGCTTCCTTTTATGACCGTTTTCCCTCTCTGTTTGGTTGGGCACCACTAAAATTGGTCCGCTCAAAAAAGGACTTCACTCAAAGAAGGGCTTCCCAACTCAGCTGCCTCGCCCCAAGCATTGGAACTCCGGGAGCGGGGTGGCCTCTTGGGCACGAACGCTGACAGCCACGGTATCCCGCCAAGCCTGAAAGCTGGCAATCCTTCCGAGAAGCTGTAGAACATGTCGCTAAACCGAGAGGGAGCGGGTAAAAACTAGACCTGTCTGAGCTCGCGGGGCGGCTTTGCGAGTCGTGGCCCTTGAAACCCTCCCGTCCTCCGGCTCAGATGTCTGTGCGGGTACAAACTCGGGAGCCTGCCACTCGCAGCGTAAATCGCCCGCAGGTATAAGGGTGGGCTGATGAAGAACTACACCGGTGTAAACCTAGTATTGCCAAGTAAACTTGTCTCACATGTTGCTTCCCGTGCCAACTCCTTTTGCTGACATTCGGGCAGCTTTCGCCCGAACAGGAGCCAAAGTGGGTGGGATGTTTGGGTAAGAAATCGCTAAGCCCTGTGTCAGTCACCTTGCCCGTGGTGCGTTGCATTGGCTTTCGATTTGAATCTCGGGTTGCGGAAGTTGAATTTCACGGTCAGTTTGGTGTCAAGGAGCTTGCACGCTTTTCAAAGGCACCTGGCTTCGTCGAGCATTGTTTCTGATCAAGGCCTTCACACAGTGCCTAAACACTGTTGACCAGTGACTTAGCTTTCTTCAGCAACACATATGACGTGTCGGCCCCGCTTAGCGCATGCCCAAAGTGGCTGGAAAAGGATGCGGACAGCGTGATGCGTAAAGTAGCTATCCCTGTGAACTGAACGACCACATGCGATGTCATGTTGGCATCTTGAGATTGAGACTCTTGCACGTGCAACCCGATCTGAGAGTGCAAAGGACAAAGTAACATCCCTTGCGAGACTGCTTATGTCCAAACTAGAAATCCTCTGATCCTTGGGATTGGTCATCTTGTTACTCGGCCGGTTGAAGACAAGGGAACAATGAAGACCAATATCATTGGCTCCTAAGAAGCATTGGATGTTGGATGTAGAGCACACAGTCAACACCCAGGAAGCAGGGTAACCACACGCAAAGGGGGCTTGGCGAAACACAATCAAAGGTGATCCAAAACGCCATGGAGCAGCGCCCAAACCCATTGACCTTTGGTTCTAACATGGTTATAACGGTCCAAATCTATGTTTTACAATAGCCCAGGTGATAGAACCTAAAATGTCTCCTCTGCACGCAGGTAGCTGCGGGTGGCATCTTGGTCCGGCCTGAGCATCGGAAACCAACATGGCCGCTAGCTGTGGCCAGATTCCCTGCATACAACATAACCTCCGGTGCTAAAAAATGAATTGCTACTCAAGATCCCGTCCCGTCAGGTATCTGTAGCAACCCTAATCAAATGAAAGCAGCTCAGGAATCATGTCTAGTCGTTAACAAACCCTACTAGGGGGAAAAACAATAGGCAACCGGAAGTGAACTCGATTCACATGAAATCTCCGTCTGGATCCCCAAAAATCATGCAGTCATTCTACCTCACTTGGTCTGTGCCATGCTAAATAGGCAATTCTCGTTCGGCTTGGCAAGTTGGCTGATTAAAGGAAGGCATGGCTTGTCTTTTGGGAAAAACGGATCTCGCTGGTATCTAGTTGCAACAAAACTGCTGTCGCAGTGGAATCCATCTATGATCAGCCAAACTGACCAAACAAAAACACTCTTGAAGGCATCAACCTGAGTCGAAACTGCACCGGGCTACGGTATTTGTGCAGAGGACCATAGTACTCAGAGTGATTCGCTTCTTAGTGGGGGTCGCCAAAGACATTAGCCGGCAAGTCACCAGTGGAAAAGCGCGCCGAAATTGATTTGGATTTCATACCCACTGCAACTGACAATCCAGCTCCGTCCACAGAGAGCACTAGAGAGCACTGAAGACAGCACTCTGCAGCAAAACTTGCCAATCAGCCACTGCCAAACTGCAATCAGCCGAAGGCTACACACAGCCACTGCAATCTGCATGAGAAGGGGTGCGGTAGCGGTGTGGGGTGCGGTGCCGGTGTGTGTGTGTGTGTTGGTGTGGGTGTGCGCTGGTGTGTGTGTGTTGTGTGTGTGTTGGTGTGTGTGTGTGTGTTGGTGTGGGTATGCGCTGGTGTGTGTGTGTGTGTTGTGTGTGTGTGTGTGTTGTGTGTGTGTTTTGTGTGTTGTGTGTGTTGTGTGTGTTGTGTGTGTTGTGTGTGTGTTGTGTGTGTGTGTGTGTGTTGTGTGTGTGTGTGTTGTGTGTGTGTGTTGTGTGTGTGTGTTGTGTGTGTGTTGTGTGTGTGTTGTGTGTGTGTGTGTGTTGTGTGTGTGTTGTGTGTGTTGTGTGTGTGTTGTGTGTGTGTGTTGTGTGTGTTGTGTGTGTTGTGTGTGTTGTGTGTGTGTTGTGTGTGTTGTGTGTGTGTTGTGTGTGTGTGTGTTGTGTGTGTGTGTTGTGTGTGTGTTGTGTGTGTGTTGTGTGTGTGTGTTGTGTGTGTTGTGTGTGTGTTGTGTGTGTGTGTGTTGTGTGTGTGTGTTGCGTGTGTGTGTTGTGTGTGTTGTGTGTGTGTGTGTTGTGTCTGTGTTGTGTGTGTTGTGTGTGTGTTGTGTGTGTTGTGTGTTGTGTTGTGTTGTGTTGTTTTGTGTTGTGTTGTGTTGTGTTGTGTTGTGTTGTGTTGTGTTGTGTTGTGTTGTGTTGTGTTGTGTTGTGTTGTGTTGTGTTGTGTGTGTGTGTGTGTGTGTGTGTGTTGTGTTGTGTGTTGTTGTGTGTCTGGTGTGTGTGTGTGTGTGTGTGTCTGTGTGTGTGTGTGTGTCTGTGTGTGTCTGTGTGTGTGTGTGTGTGTCTGTGTGTGTGTGTGTGTCTGTGTGTGTCTTTGTGTCCTGTCTGTCTGTGGTGTCTGCTGTGTCTGTGTGTGTGTGTCTGTGTGTGTGTCTGTGTGTGTCTGTGTGTGTCTGTGTGTGTGTTGGTGTGTGTGTTGGTGTGTGTGTTGGTGTGTGTGTGTGTTGGTGTGGGTGTGCGCTGGTGTGGGTGTGCGCTGGTGTGGGTGTGCGCTGGTGTGGGTGTGTGGGGTGTGTGTGTGTGGGGTGTGTGTGTGTGTGGTGTGTGTGTGTGTGCGCTGGTGTGGGTGTGCGCTGGTGTGGGTGTGCGCTGGGGTGTGTGTGTGTGGGGTGTGTGTGTGTGTGTGGGGTGTGTGTCTGTGTGGGGTGTGTGTGCGTGGGGTGTGTGTGTGTGTCTGTGTGTGTGTATGTGCGTGTGGGTATGTGCGTATGTGCGTATGTGCGTATGTGCGTATGTGCGTATGTGCGTATGTGCGTGTGTGCGTGTGTGCGTATGTGCGTGTGTGCGTATGTGCGTATGTGCGTATGTGCGTATGTGCGTATGTGCGTATGTGCGTATGTGCGTATGTGCGTATGTGCGTATGTGCGTATGTGCGTATGTGCGTATGTGCGTATGTGCGTATGTGCGTATGTGCGTATGTGCGTATGTGC